TGAGCTTGATTATATTTTCTATTTACTTTAATTTGTTTTGATAATTTTTATTATCTAACTATTTTACAATTAATCATATGATGATGATTGTTACCGTATTTATTTACAATTCCCGTAAACACTGTTCTCTGTAGTAAGCAATTTTATCATGTTTCAATTTCCCGTAACATAAGTCAACAATGTCACAAACTTTACACCACATCTATTATCTGCGTATTTGACTAATAAACTAATTGTATTTTAAATAATTATTTATTACAATTAATATGTGATATTTATTAAAAATTTTTGATAAGGAGTGTTTTACTTATAAAGAATTAACACATAATATAATATAATTAACATGATAAATATATATATCAGAAATAAATAAATAGATAGATCAATAGCCTCGATATTTGTAATGAATGGGAACAATAAATACACGTAAAACATAATATATTTGAATGGGAATTTAGCCAATTTATAAATACACTGTGCATTTTGTGTTCACACCGGTAGGTGTATGAGTGTGTTGAATGGATGTAAGATTTTATATTTTTTTATCATAGCACTAATACTTCCCCAAACATACCATATAGAAATATATCTATTTTTAAATTAACCATTTTTTAAATTATATAACATACATGTATATTAGTTCTCTCTATGGGGTCTATAATTGGCACCCAATACTTGCCGTTGTGTTTTGCACAGTGTGTTTGTCTGAGGTAGACATCTTAGATAAGTGTATCATTTTATAAGACAATAGTTAATTTTCTTACAATTATTACCATATTCTGTGAACTTGTTTGGTTTGGATTAATCATTTGATCCCTAGTTTATACGCTATTTTGACTTTTAAATAATATTTATATTTATTAGAGAATATTCTCATATACTTTGTATTATACTTGTGTTAGTATTAATAATAATTATTATTGGTATAATAAGTAGTGTGAAATAAATATTTTATCAAGGGCTTCATCATCAATTGACAGATTATAGGGGCAAATTTTAATATGACATTTATTGAAATGATATAATTTAATAATATCAACTTTGTAATATTTACCAAATTTCTTATGTGGATTTTTAATTAATAAATGTGAGAATAATTATTTTTTTGTTTTTAAATTTCCTTGTTAGATTAACTATAAATCTATTAATTGATTATAGTGTATATTTTAATAGTATTTTAATCATCTCTACAATGTTTTATATACTGCAGAGTTAATTATAGTCATCATGTTTATTATTAAAACTATTATAGATATTGAGTCAATTAAAAATAAACGGAAAAATTTATACATTTAGTTCCCATTGATTACTAGGATATTTGAAATATATTTATTTTATTTCCTTAATTAAAATAATCAAGGTTAAAACAGTAAATTAATTTTATAACTGAATTGCAATTCATTATGAAATTCATACATAACTAAATAGTTCATATAACTAAATAACTTAATTTAATTAATAAATACTATATTAACTAAACCAGTACAATCAACTCCCGATACAGGTCTCAATAAATCGCCGCCAAACAGTGCAAACAGCATCACCACAACCACAGCCACCGCTGCCATCAAAGTCAAATCCACAGCAAACAAACCTCCCGTACCGTACAAACCGCCGGGTCTTAATCAGAAGTCAGCGCCCGGTAAACAAACAACACAACACCAGCCCTCGGCACCCGACTCTCAAGGCTATCAAACAGGTATCACAAAATACACACCCACTTCGGTATTGGAGGACAAGTATATCCTTGTATTTATCTGCCAATATCTGACCCAATATTACCCACCGGAGCGACTCTACTGTACCCTCTATTGTACTGTACTTTTACTATTTCTCGTATACCCCATATATATCTGTCAATACACTGTCAATACTTCGGGCCCTACCAGTGCTCACCTAAATCTTTGTGCCCTATCTGTCTGACTATCTATCAATCAATCGACACGACTTTCCCCTTCAATATATCACTCTCTGAATGTCTGCCAAAAATATAAGTAATACTAATAACAACAATAATAACAATACGGCTAATAATAACGGAGCCAAAGATTCAGTTAATAATGAAAATTACCACGAGGTAAAAGTGGATGCTGGTGTGCAGCGGCCACCCACAATCACGGTGGCCAGTCATGACACAGGCAGTATTAAATCGGAGACCAGTTCACTGTGCCGGCCCCTCAAGTTTGGCGGCCCCACCGGTGGGGGTGGCGATGATATACCAGTCGATGGCAATGGCAATCAGCTGTAAGTATAATGTGTTTTAAAAAATTAATTGTAATATTGTTTTAATTTTAGTTAAAATTATTGCTTTATTGCAACCGTAATATACGCTCCAGTTATTTAATTGTAGTTGATCAATTAATTATTCCACGTTTTATTTAGTGTAAAAATTACAGTTTGGAAAAATCTATACGTGATAAAAATAAACTAAATACATATTGTAAAAATAAACTCAATAAAATTAGCATCAAGTTTGTTAATAACTGTAGTTTTTAACTATAACTAACTTTAATTTAATGATTAGTTTTTGTAACTTGGGAATTAACTTTTTATAATAATTGATATTTTTACCATAGTATTGACAGCCAATTCAGTGCCAACCCTAACGATAACGTGTATAAACCGTGCGAACAAAACTCGGGCACAATCGGGAGCCGCGCCACACGATTCCCGACACTCGGCCAGTGCTCGCGCGGCAACAACAATGACTCGCAGGACAGCGAACGCACCGTTTGCTGCCATAACCTGGCCATCGATCTGTACAACAAGGCCCTGGAGTCGGCCAAGAGGGCGCTGCCCACTAAGTAATTACATTAATCATTTCAACAATTTTGAATATACACTCACCTTAATTTTGAACCATTTTTAAAATACTATAATTATCAAAACCATTAGATCATCGAAACAGAGTCGACAACAGTTCCCGCGAAGTTTTGGCGAAGACTTCGAGAGCATTGGTCCCGAAGGGTTCAACTATCTGGACGACGGCCAGACCGAGTGCTCGTACGACTACCGGGATATCGACTACAACAGGGACTCCATAATCAGGCCCGACTTGTTCGCCCACATGGATGTGGGCGTACCGGTGCTCATTGGGGGCGCCGATACCGGTGACGAGTCGCCCCGAACGGCCGATGATTTGCGGCGCCGGTACGGCCTGCCCGACAAACCAGACAGAGTGCAGCCTTATGTGCCGTCCGGTGCCCAGTCTAACACATGCCCCGCCACTGCGGTCATACCATTAGCAGAGTTTGCAGTTACTAAGCCTATTGACCAGAATAAGGTGGTGGTTGTCGATGGGCATCAAGACACTGATGCCGGTGTTATAGTAAAAGCCAGGGATAATACCGGAGCCACTGTGTCATCAGATATAGCGCCTGAACCAAACTTACTCACCGCTACGACAACTGTCTCACAGACACAGACAGTGCCGGAGTCTAAGGCGTCCACTTCTAGGCCAATGGTGTTGGCGCTGAGCGCTGGACATCAAACCCAAATAGCGCTCAAACCGACGGATAATCGGCAAACACTGAGCGCCGGGAGCCCAGTGTCGGCCACAGGCGGGTTAATGGACTCTATGGCCAAACGCACTTCGCAGCTGATCATCGACACGGCTATACACGAGTCAATAGCCCGACGCACTACACCCTCCCCTTTAGAGGCCGAGAATCGAGACAACCGGTCGAATGAATCGAAAGCTGATCCCAAGTCGAAGAAATCGTCGGCCGATTCATCGGCGGTCGCGGCCGACAAAGATGTGGTCAAACGTGAGCGCAAACTACTGGAGAAACGGCTGAAAGAGGAGGAGAAACAGCGCCGAAAGGCCGAGAAACTGATCCGCNGAGGGCACACAGACAAACTCCGGGTGCTGTAATAGTGCCGGATCTTCGACCACTATGATTGACGGCACCACTGATTGCTGTTTCTTGTGTCCAGTGATGTCAGCGCTGGTATGTTTGCCGCTCTTCCGCACCAGTTTCGGTGTCCACTTGTGGGCCGGAAATATGTCCTTCACTTTGGACTTTAAGGCCCGAAACGACGATGACTTGACGGCAGCGGGTTTGGGACTCTTCGAGCCTCGTTTAGACCCCTTTTTGGCCACCGGTTGAACAGTTTCGGTGTCCGTGTCTTCAGCACCGCTGTTATCGTTGGACGGCATATACGTTACGCCGATTTCGCGTACGTTTTCAATGTACTCGTACTTCACGGGCACGTCTTCGAGCACCAGTTGGACATCAACCGCGACAACTTCCACATCGGTATTGGCTGTCAAAACAGCGCCACCAGATGTGACCACCGGTTCTGCGTCAATATCTTCATAGGTGTGTCGACCAAACCGGTCAACAGTAGGACCGGTGGTCGGGGGCGGAACAGGCGATGGTTCGTACTCATCGTCGGCCTCTATATCCACGTTATCATCCGATTTGAGGCTATTTTTTGACTTATTAACCATCGATTTCTGGCGAATTTTCTCAAACTGTTTCTGCTTCTTCTGGATCTTCTTCTTCTGGCGGTCTTCAGTGCGAAATCTGGCAAACAGTGACTTCTTCTCCGCCCTGTCTTCATCGCGGATCAGTTTCTCGGCCTTTCGGCGCTGTTTCTCCTCCTCTTTCAGCCGTTTCTCCAGTAGTTTGCGCTCACGTTTGACCACATCTTTGTCGGCCGCGACCGCCGATGAATCGGCCGACGATTTCTTCGACTTGGGATCAGCTTTCGATTCATTCGACCGGTTGTCTCGATTCTCGGCCTCTAAAGGGGAGGGTGTAGTGCGTCGGGCTATTGACTCGTGTATAGCCGTGTCGATGATCAGCTGCGAAGTGCGTTTGGCCATAGAGTCCATTAACCCGCCTGTGGCCGACACTGGGCTCCCGGCGCTCAGTGTTTGCCGATTATCCGTCGGTTTGAGCGCTATTTGGGTTTGATGTCCAGCGCTCAGCGCCAACACCATTGGCCTAGAAGTGGACGCCTTAGACTCCGGCACTGTCTGTGTCTGTGAGACAGTTGTCGTAGCGGTGAGTAAGTTTGGTTCAGGCGCTATATCTGATGACACAGTGGCTCCGGTATTATCCCTGGCTTTTACTATAACACCGGCATCAGTGTCTT